GGTCTGTTGAATGTCACCTGGACAAGGTAAGATATAAATAAATAAAAATATTACTCTCGTGGCTGGAGGCAAAAGCAGCAGTTCAAGTGCCCTCTACCGTACCGCTCTGTTTCACACGTCCTGCATGGTTGTATTTCCTATTAAACTGGAAGTTCGGGTGTGACATACCGGGGGGATTGTACTTCGATTTGAGCAGCGCTTAATTTACGTCACAGCATGATTTGCTACTTACTATACTACTCAGAGTCATGTGACATCAGGGGGAGGGACATTCTCATTTTATAGAGCATTTGATTGGACAACAGTGTTGATACTATCAGAGAAATCTGCACAAATTGTACATTTAGGGCAGCTTGTCACTGAAGGAGTACCCTTAAAAAGACAACTTCGTACCTTATCTACCTTTAAAAGGTGCATAGGACCTTATTGTAGTACTGCAAAACCTTTTGGTACTACTATGAAACTTTTAGCTGTAAATAAGGTACAAAGATACTCTCACTCCCTAAAGGTACAACCTTTGCATATTGTTCTGAGAACTGATATGTTGAAGATAACAGCTCAGTTTGGTTCATCAAATCTGCTAATTGTGTATTTTGTCTACGTTTAGAAGTGCATAGAAGGTCTCAAAGCTAATAAACAAGGACTAAAGCCACAGAACTCCCCACAAGGTGGGTAAAACAGGCCTTTCTTTGGGAGGAAAAAGACAGGCCGGGGAATTAACACTTAACACGGGCTTAATTACGGCACGCACGCGCCTGTGAAAACCTGCCATTCAAGAGCATTGGTAAATAAACCTCTCTTTACAGGTGATCCAAATGTGTCTCGCTCCAGACAGCCCTCTGTTCCAGCGCTGATATGCAATTAAAATCATCTCCAAAATTCTCCTCGACAGGACGGGCCCAAGCCAAAAATGTAAATGACATTAAGGGAGACAATGAATTGAATTTTGTTTAATGTCCCTTTTGCTGGTGCTAATTTACATAGCGCTTTTCCAACAAAAGCTCTGACCTTCTAAATGCTGGCATTTGATCAGCTCTGAGAGCGGGACTGTGTGCGGATGGTCTTTTTAAGTAGCCTGGTCGGAGAAGATACAAACAAAAGGGCAAATAAACTGAGGAACGATCTGTGTTGGTTTTTAAAGATAAAAAAACCCCGCAACAGGCGGAGTACGAACACAAATTTTCCCCCGGCATATGGCTCCAGGAAGACCTAGCTAATAACCAAACGTAATCCCTTCTGGAAAGGTCCTCCGGTACGAAAAATTAATGAATGTTTAGCTAAATCAGCATCGGGACCCAAATACCGCGCGGTCCGAACAGGTGCAGAAGCCTCAGCGAAATGAGCTACATAAACCGTCCTGCTTCACAACTGTGTACTCTGACAAAAAAAAAAGTCAATGTCATGAATTATTCAGTTGAGGGAGGGGGTTGGCTGTCAGAGGTCAGCATGTCTTGACCTTTCTGACAGAAAGTGAAAGGGAGATCGGTTGGCTAGGAAAACCCTGATCGTTCTTGAGTCGGAGTGGTATTATTAGTTTTTGGACCGATACGGGGGCGGTAAATTATCCAACGCCTCGCGCTTGACGTGCGTTCAAGACATCACCTACAAGAGCTCGAGTCTAGCCGTAGAACTCCTCATTTCAGAGGCTCAATCTATCTTTCAAAAAATACCAATGAATAATCTACGGCGAAGCCGGGTCGGGTTGTGAAATATTTAAAGAACCATTGAGGTTGAAATTTTGTAACAGCTGTGAAATACAACCAAGTTTTTCTCGTTTTTTTTTTCTTTTTCTCCTCGTGAAGAACCTAAAGCTGCACCAAAGTCCAAGAGAAATAGTATAAACAGATGTCTGGCTTGACTACAGGAAAATAGGACACATTTGGAATGATAAGTCTCCTAAACTCCATTGAAAATGCCAGAAGCGAGCGGGTGCCAGTTATTGTCCAAGCCCGTGCCAATGAGCAGTATGCCTGGCCCATGTGCCATCTGGGAGAATGTGGCTGAAAACGTTATTGATAATGGATCACCAGATCTTCTGGTCACCATAGCCCTGTTTAGCAGAACATTCTCGTCCTCTATCTGTCTGTCTATTTATCTATCCCCAGTCCAACCCAGTAAAATGTTTTGATTGTAATGCAGTCGACCCTCGCACTACTTCCTCATCTACTTCCTGTGCACGCAAATGCTTGTTTATAAATGGTGACTGAGCATGCATGTATCTTAGCTATGCATAAAACTCCCTTGTGTACTGTAATGCTCCACTTTTTCCTCAGAGACTAGGAAAAAAGACGGACCTAACAAGACATAACCCCACAGGATTAGTTTTGTGATTACAAATTAGTTTTATATCATACACCCCACCTGCACGAACGCTTCAGTCATTTGAGGTTTGTGTTTCCGTGCGTTCCGGGCTCTCCCGGTCGCCTTGTTCTCTGAGCGTTGGATAAAATCATCTGTTCACAGTTGTGATATGCAGACAATGCAGTCGGCTAATGAAGCACATCTGCTTTTGTGATCTGACAGAACGGATCGCCCCTCTATGAAAACGATCCTCTCGAGTCTTTCAGACGCCTCACAATCAAAATGTGAGCTTTTTTATCCGCCGTTTCAACCTACCACAATATCCCTCATTTTGCCGAGTATCAGACCTTCTTTGCGCTGTTCTCCTTTTCCTCTTTTACTAGTGTTACACATATTGTTCACCAGATTGAAGCACAAAGCGCCAAGACATCCGATCCATCCACCTCTATTTAGCCACAACACAAAGCCCAGCAATTTATGGGAAGAGTCAATGCAGTAAATATCAGTGAAACCCTGTTATAAAGTGTTTGTGTGTTTTTTTCTTTTAAAGGTAAATACATTGTATAAGCCATGGCCGGTGGGGAGAATCGACTCTGACTGCCTGAGACTCTTTTCAGGATCTGCTAAGAGGAAGTGATATGTGTTTTATCTTCTGTTCAGAAAACCAAAACAAATCCTCCTCCTCCTCCTCCTCCTCGCTGGGACTCCTCTTTTCCTTTTTTTCTCTCGCCCCACTAGCTTTTCTTTCTCCTGCGGTTGAGTTACAGTGAGTGCATGAATGTTGGTCCTGTAACTAATTACTGTTCGCACACTGTCAGAGCTCTTCAGCACGTCTGTTTAAACAAGCTAATCATTTAATGCAAAGATAACCAAGGTTACTGGGATTGATTCACACTCTTTGAGAGTGTTTACAGAAGAAGATTTAAGGAATTCATATTCCACTTAAAAAAAGGTTAAATAGGGGCTCTGTTCCAAAAGCTAGTCAGCTGCCTACATGGGTAACATTTTACAGCATCATTATGCTGATGTGAATAAATATTTAGCATTGATGCTACCTCATAAGACACCACATTTTAGCCAGATTGTAAGGCAGCATTGCTTATTCACGGACAAGAAAATCCCAGAATGCAATAAATAAATTTAAAATGTGTGAAAAATCAAAAAAGTATAAATGAAAATTAACTATTTTATGCTTATTAAAGCATTGTGGAATTAGCTTGGCAACATGTTAATGTTAAACTCTTCTCAAATGTGATTCAAATGTCTGTTGCTGACTATGTACAGCATTTAGTGAATGCTGCTTAAAGCAGAAAACAAGACAGCTAACTAGGCTTCACAACAGAGCGATGGATTATGATTCAAATCAAATATTGATTATGAATAAGCTATGTGGAAGAAATAAAAAACTTCTACTCTAAAACTGAATCAAACAGCCTCTCCTCACATGAACCAGTTCACTCACATTATTGTGTAGTAAGGCAGGGTTTCCACATTACGACCACATGACGTGAGAGCGGGAAACGCTCAGACCTCCAAACACGCAAGCACGGCCATAATTTCGACACGCAGGGCATGAGTCCTTTTTTTCCAATGCTTCACACACTTCATGCACGGTGAGTGACAGCGACTACTGGTCACTGCTATTTGATTACTAATAAGAGAGATGTTCCCTCTGTCAGATACCAAACATTCCCCGCTAAGCAAACAGCTATTTCAGCAAGTCAAACATTAGCATTGCTATCCACTGGTGGTGCATATTTCGTTCCCGGCTTTACCCATCATCTCGCCCTCCAATCTAATTTCCCACTCAGTGGACAGGCAAGTTTGTGATCGGGAGATAACTTTGCAACAGCTACGGCGAGAAAACAAGACTCTCACTGCTGGCACCGCTTGCTGGTTATTCATGGCTCTTTACAGCAGATGGAAACAGAGAGACTCCTGGCTTTATGGAGCAAGGTAGGCTTGTTCTAGCTCACTAATCTCCAAGAGGCCCGGACTCCAGCAGCCAGCGCTCCTTGTCACATTTACCGTTTCAGCCGCGAGTCCAAAACCTGCCCTGCCGTAATCCACGTACGTGCTGCCACCACAGGGATAATTGGACAAAAAGGAAGAAGTGTAAGTCTCGCCGAGTAAGTGTAACCTTGAGCCAGACTCACAAAGAGAAACATAAGCTGCAGAAAAAAAAAAAAGAAAGAACGTCAATTACCCACTCGGCGGGAGCCGGTGTGTTTGAACACGCTTTCCCTAATGTGATCAACATGCAACCGCCAACAGCCAGCCCAGAAACATTACTCATTTCCCACCGGCAGCACTGCAGAGCGCAACGTAAAGATGCCTTTTTGCCTCGAACATGCACGTTCGGAGATGCAACGTTACTGCTCAGCTGCGGCACGCAGTCGTGCCACAAAGCCAACGTGAGGCAGTGCACTGTTTACAGAGAAGATAAGCAGAGCAGTTGTTAACAAATTACGATGAAAGGGTTGAGAATTTAAAGCCAAACGCTCTCTCGATGCGGCGAACTGCTTGCAAGTCTCGAGGAAAGCACGTCCCGGACAACTCGCCAGCAATTACGCGGTCCCTAAAGACACCCCGCGTCAACCCACCTGCGCGGCACGCCGCACAAAAACACGGGGCAAACCCGGGCCAGGATGCTGGGCCGCAGCGCCCTACGCTCACAGGAAGCAGGAAGATAGTCTTACCTGTCGATGATCACGGGGTCTGAGGGCGTTTCGTTCCTGTTTCCGCAGCTTTTTTTGTCACAACACCGACTTGGGGAGAAGAACACAGGGAGAGAGAAAAGGAGACATGAGATGAGATATGAGAGAATCAGCAAACAGCTTGCATGTGTCTTTCGTCTCCGAGCACCGTGTGTTTCGATTTATTCTCTCGTCCTCTTTTCTAGCTAACCGCCGAGGTGTTTGGCGTAGGTTCTGGCTGAGCCGGATGGTGTTGGTGGCTGCGGTTCTCACAGATGCGGGCGGCGGGTAAACACGGAGCCCGGCGCTGTGGCTGAAGGAGGGAAAACAGCATGTTTTTGGTGTTTGTCTTAGTGCTGAGAGGAGGAGAGGGGGTGCCAGGAGGCTGGGAGGGGGGAAAGCTCTCTCTCAGCCCCAGCTTTTGTTTACCTCTAATTGTCAAGCTGTTGTGTCTGGAGAGGATGCAAGATGCCACCTTCAACCAGGATTTCTGTGGGGCACTTATTAATTACCAGCTCAAAAAGCCTCCATCAGTCTCCTACAATGTGCCAATGCCTCCATTTTGAGGCCCTGAAGATGCTTCCATTATGCTTTCTTTAATTAATGTTGAAATTACAGAGGGAAAAAAATGCCTCTTGAATTTAAAGAAGCCTACTTGTATAATGGTTACATGTCTAAGTGAGCCAAATTAACACCATATGGTATAGAAAACACGTAAAGCTCCTTAAAGCTGACAGCTAAAGTGATTAAGGTATGGACCTCTGCTTGGGACTCGGAAACGCATCCGTGCGGTTTTGACGCAAGCAACAGAGTGCGATGCGAGGAACTTTCTTGATCGTTAAACGAGGTCCTGTAAGCTCTTAAAAGTTTGAAGCGTTTTTAGCTCGCGCGCAGAAGGATGTGGCGTGACCCCTGCGCACTGTTCTGGTTCCTTTCCGATTTGGTGGAAAATTGAGTGCTTGCTTCCATAAGCGTCGGGTTCTCTTTCAGTGCAGTTGTCTTATTAATCGTAATTTTTCTACTTTTAAAATAACCACAGGATAAGGATATATCTGTGGCGTGTGCGTAAAAATCAGAACAGACAGAGTGGCGCACGATTAAAATACTGAGGATGAAAAGCCACTTTCCAAAAAAAGTCCCGAGAGCGCACACACGCGTCTGCATTTGAGCCGACCGCTGTGTGTGTGAATTTCAATTCATCCTCTATAGTGTTAAAAGTCCAGTGAAACCATTCATAAGTCCGATGTCACCAAATGATCCGGTCAGATTTGCGCTTTTGAAGTAGAACTTCTGAAACTCGCAGAGCAGGGTGCAAAGCGAACCGTAAATCATTACGCATAAGACGCCTGACAATTCTGAACATTTGGATTCTTTTCAGCGTATCCAGGCAGATCTATTAAGGGATTCATTGATTTTCTGTAAGGCTGATGCTCGGAGGCCTGGATGGGCCTACATCATGTGCGTTACGCATTTATGAAAACATGACAAGACATTATGGCTGATAAAATTCAATTACGCAGTCAAATGTAATAGTTTATAATTATCTGAAAATGAAAAAGATGTTTATTTTTTCTTACCTGCACATAATTTCGTGTGTGAGAAGAACTCGGCACATTTCTGGGTTTTTATCTTGACCTTCATAAATAATAGCCTTGAAATAAAAGTCACAGTGAAGACGTTTTAAACAAGTGGACAACACATAAAATATAACATTTAAAATATTAAATATAAAAACGCATTTCTCCAGCAAAGAAAAAAAAAATACTATGAAATTAAACATAAAATAATAAAATGTGGTTTTATGCCACAAAGTTCAATTTCATCAATTAAAAATCGACAAGAGAAGGTGCGTAAATAAAATCCATTTAGCCCACATACATTGTTAAACAATGTTTTATCTGTAAACCAACACACATGCCCACATTCAAGATAGAGATAACCTCTGTGTTATTAATTTGCATAAATAAATATGATGTTTGAAATTAATATCAACACTTGGCCGGTCATTGCGATGACAAATTATACCACATGCATATCACTTTAGAAATGAAGAGTCGCATATGCTTCTGTTTAGATCTTTGCGCTATTTATTTGGGGAATGATAACAGAAATCACATAGATGTCACTTCTCCGACGCAGATGGCCGCGGTAAATAATATCCATAACCGTACACATCAACGCGGTTATAATCTGCAGATATGTAGGGGTAGAGTGCTAATGGGCAATCTGTTGTTTATTTTGAGCCGCTAACAATGATTTTTCTTTAGATAAAAAGCGGTGTCGGGGGGTACGCTTGAGTAATTTTTGAGCATTGGCTTTAACAGATGGCGTTTGGAGCTGTAGGTGCGCACGGGCCTTGGTGCTTTCTGCGCGTTCTGTCTCACTCTCTCTTTCTCTCTCTCTTTCTGTCTCCCTCCCTCCCTGTTTGCCCTGCTCCCGTTATGATGTACTGTGCAAGAGCGCACTCCAACGCGTCCGCAATAAATTATCAAGCAGCTACACGAGAAGAAACACGTGGTAATGTGATTCATATTAAATTAAATCCGCCAAATAACCTCCCCCATTAATCAGAGCAAGCCAAAATACAGCCACGGCTTTACATTACAGTGTTCACAGCACATGTGAATATAACGAGCTACAGCATCAATATCAATAAAAGCTCTGCATCTCCAAAAAAATATATTACATACAGAGAAGAAGATGTATTTGCTTATTTTGTATTTACTTATGGAAACATGTATACTGTAATATAAAGTGTGACCAAAGCACGTGCAACAAAATATGACACAGATTATAAATATAAATACACACACGCAAGAGAAAGGAAAAGTTCTTACCTGTTTTGTCATGGAATCGATTAACCGAACATAAAGATCCTGTTCTGTTCTGACGCCTGTGGGAAATTATTTTTGTTTTTCAATGTGGAAAATGTCTGGTGAAAAAAAAACTATACAAAGTTTCCTCGGAAAAAAAAAAAAAGAAGCTGAAAGTATTCTTGAAATTCACTAATAGAAAAAAAAACATCATCGAAGGTTTGCCATCTACTAGAATTACATTTGTGGAATAAACTGAACTACATTTTTAGGAAACTAATACGGCTCCATTGAGAGAATAAAACACTTGTAAATCTATCCTTGCTGAATAGAGAAATTTACACTTACCGTTGCTGTACAATAGTTGTATTTTGTAATGTATCCCATTGTTAGTTTTTTCACTGTTAGGTTCCTGAAAATAAGCATTTGTTTGGGGTCAGATTGGCATAGATGGCGTTTGGAGCTGTAGGTGCGCACGGGCCTTGGTGCTTTCTGCGCGTTCTGTCTCACTCTCTCTTTCTCTCTCTCTTTCTGTCTCCCTCCCTCCCTGTTTGCCCTGCTCCCGTTATGATGTACTGTGCAAGAGCGCACTCCAACGCGTCCTTCCGTAGGATCCGTGGGGCGCGTTGGAGTGCGCTCTGTATTTTGTAATGTATCCCATTGTTAGTTTTTTCACTGTTAGGTTCCTGAAAATAAGCATTTGTTTGGGGTCAGATTGGCATTATTGGGTTGTTGAGAATTTTATTTTAGTGTGTTTATGAAATGCATGCATTTTTTATATTTTATTTTTTGTCTGTATGCATGTTCCCTCAGCATCTTTACGCTTTTAAAATCCAGCAACTGTATTTAAGGTTGTATTTAGTAGATTAATTCCTGGCAGTAATGTGTATAATGCATATCTATTTTTGTTTTTCTGTGAAATCCGTCAAAGCGGTTTAATGGCGCACGTGTTTCCAAAGATCTAGAAGTGTGGAAGTTTTAAGGTGAAAATTCAAAGCAGTATTCCAGAGTGGCGCTTACTTTATCCTTTTCCACAAAGTCCACAAAAACTGTCCTTTCGATCTCCACTGGCTGTCCCTGTCTGTCATAAAGCGCCAGGACGAAGTGGAAAAAATTGGATTTTCTGAGGTTGGATGGCGGTTGTTTCTCATAGTGCGCCCGTGCCAGACCAACTCCACTGCGGGGAAAAAAACGAGACACCAGTGTGGGTTAAAACAACAGGCGTACACTTGAGATATAAATAGATGTAGATAGAATGAAAACATGGGAGAATTCTTGATTTGTCACTTAAACTGTAATATGATGTAATGAACAGGGGAAAGCGGCGAAGAGGTGCATGGGGAGATTGTAATTGATACATGGCATATTGGGGATTTAGGGGTCGATCTGAGAAATGCATTAAAAAATCGGATGATTTGGCAAACGTACCTCTGGGCGGCCGTGTTCGCATCCACCACCCCAGCCGTGTGCATCCACGATCGGACCGGATTCATGCCACTGCCCGTTATGATGTACTGTGCAAGAGCGCACTCCAACGCGTCCTTCCGTGGGATCCGCGGGACGCGTTGGAGTGCGCTCTTGCACAGTACACCATTGCAAAAAAACAAAACAAAAAAACATTCACTTTTATATAAGTACACAGTAGGCCTATTATTAGTACATATAAATGTATGAAAATCCAAGCACTGTTGTATACACATAAAACTGGAAAGGAAAAAAAAACGCATGCGTGTGTAAATAAACACACGGTGCAAAAATAAATTGCTTTAAATATATGAGAACTTATTATAACGTGTAGTAGCAATTAGCTCCCTTTTGAATTTTAATTTGCCAGCTGTATGCTGGATGCAAGCGTTGGTTTGTATTTCTGATTACATTAATTCTATCAATCATTAATTCTATTAAGACATATCTAACAAAGATAAACATTAAAACCGTTAGCCCAAATCTAGAAATTGCAAATAACAAAATAAGCACTAGATAGAATTTATCAGACATTGCTTTATGTGTCCTTATTTATTTTCCTGCCTCTCACTGAAAATATACGGAAAACCATAAAGTGGCTGTTCAGCGCCATTGACTCTTTGATCATGTTCAGCTCCATTCAGAGGCGCCTCAGATAAAACCTTCATATTGTCTCTCCTGTGAAGCCAAACGATGGATAAACTACAGATAACAAGAGCCTCAAAATCAAGCTAAAGGTCCGCCCTGTTCTTGAGAGGCTGAAATGGACAATGGAAATGAGCTGAGAGTGATTTCAGAGAACATCAGAGTACAATATGAACTCAAGTGTCTGTCTCGCGCCTGGAGCTTTATTTTTATGCCTTTAACCAGATCTGATTACAGCACAACAAAAGTGAGTTTTCACGTGCGACAGCGCGATATAATGACACACTGAAATTTAGTAACTGAATGCCAATTAAGAAATATTGCACTGCCAGATAAAAAAAGTGCTTTTTTTTTCATTTTATTTTATATTAAATACAAAGCAGCTATGATATAAAATTATTACAACAATTTTCATGCATTATAAATTATCATGTGTGTGCTTCACAAGCACAAGCATATGAGCTATATATTGTCTCAGATTAAAACACGATTAAATAATAATAAATAAAAAAAACAGCCTAATGAGCGCAATACAGAAATATAGGGTTTGACAAATATGCGAGAGCAAGACTATAATGTGGCTCATGAGAAACTAATCGGTATAAATAATAAAGAAATGTAATAACACTTTAGGTTATTTTCCCTTTATCCTCAGTTTTTCTTTATTAATATTATTATTTTATTTTTAAATGCGTATTTAAGGTGAAAATTCAAAGCAGTATTCCAGAGTGGCGCTTACTTTATCCTTTTCCACAAAGTCCACAAAAACTGTCCTTTCGATCTCCACTGGCTGTCCCTGTCTGTCATAAAGCGCCAGGACGAAGTGGAAAAAATTGGATTTTCTGAGGTTGGATGGCGGTTGTTTCTCATAGTGCGCCCGTGCCAGACCAACTCCACTGCGGGGAAAAAAACGAGACACCAGTGTGGGTTAAAACAACAGGCGTACACTTGAGATATAAATAGATGTAGATAGAATGAAAACATGGGAGAATTCTTGATTTGTCACTTAAACTGTAATATGATGTAATGAACAGGGGAAAGCGGCGAAGAGGTGCATGGGGAGATTGTAATTGATACATGGCATATTGGGGATTTAGGGGTCGATCTGAGAAATGCATTAAAAATCGGATGATTTGGCAAACGTACCTCTGGGCGGCCGTGTTCGCATCCACCACCCCAGCCGTGTGCATCCACGATCGGACCGCATTCACCCCCCTCTTGGTATATTTTCCTGAATCCCAAACATTAAAACAGTTCGCGTGCAACCCACTTCCAGCCAAAGAGATGAAATGAGAGTGTGAGCGAGGGCGCGTCGTCTCTCCAAGAGCCCCTTCGGATAGCCGTGAGAGTTTGTTTGGGATTTGTCGAAAAGAGGAGAAGAAGAAGAAGAAGAAGAAGAAGAAGAAAAGAAAAAGCAGTCCCGACTCCTTCTTCAGTCCGCCCTGCGTTGGCACCACATGAACGATTCAGTGCGTAAAGATTCTCAAGCCTCTCCAAGCAGCTTGTTTGGATAGATGGAGATCCTCCCGTGGAAGAAGCGAAACAAGTCGCGCAAATAGCAGGGATATTAGACTCGTTTTAATTCAGTTAAACATTTCTTGAAACTTTCTGTTGTTGTTGTTGTTGTTGTTGATGATGATGATGATGATGGTGATGCTCTTAGCTTGGTGGCATCCTATAACAACAGCATCAAAAAAAGGCTTCGGGACACTGCTGAATCCACCACTTCTGGCTCCAAAAGACAAATAAACGCGTAAATGATCACCGTGGAGGTGTTCCCGGACACGGGAGAGGATGGTGAGGGGCCTTTAGCGAGTCTTTGCAGAATGGATGGAAGCATACAAAACTCAACCCTCTATCCCCCAGGACTGGAACCTTTCCCGGGAGCCAAAAACTCCAGACCCACGGGATCCACGCTGTCAGAGGATGACGCGCACGTGGGCGTGGCTTTGCCCATACATGGAGAGGACTGACGCTTCCTGTCGCTGGGCTTTAAGCTTGGACCGTGAGTACATACTCGACTGTAGTCGCTGCCGCTACTGCTGCTGCCGCTACTGCTTTTCCAGTGTGCATCGTGTCAAGTAATCATCAGAGAGGAACAAAAATGAATGATAATTAAAGCCCGTGAATAAAGCGCGGCGCGCGGGAACTATATTTCCTGAAAAACTGCCATGCAGGTTTATAGAGTGCAAAAGAGCACTGACTGACCACCCATCTGCTGCAAGTGGTTTCCAGAATAAACAAATAAAAAGTCTTTCTGGGCCATCATCACTATGACAGCGGTGCCAAACGTCCCTGACGCGAGCCTCCAAATCGATTCACTTTGATTACTCTCAAATCAGGAAGGTGTACTGGCATTTTAAGACTAGATGCTCCTTATAATAAACACCCTGGGCATATGCATAATGGCGTAATGCGCGTCTTAAATTATGGCAACGTGTACCGCTTGAATCTAAGACCCGGTTTGCGTGCGTGGAGCGAGCCGAGGCGATGTCAAACTCCTAGTCCTAGCGCGTACAAGCTTAATTTTGTAAATTATTGCAGAATTACATCTGAAAGTGTGAAGGGACTCGGGGGAAACATTGCGTCCACCCTCTCCTTCTATGCGCAAGAAGTAGGATGTCTTTTTAAATAAAAATATAATCATTTATCAGGACAATAAGGGTAATTTTTGTCCTTTCATCTCGTAAGGTGCTCATATCTCCGATATTGACAGACTCTGCATGTATGTTAATATTTGAATTAATGGGGGTAAATGGAAGTCCGATGTTGGTTATCTGGGGACCCTGTGCGCTGGAGGGAGGGATGGATGGATGGATGGACGGACGGAGAGAGGAGAAGAGAGATGTGTTTTACACTGCAATCTATTCTGCTAGTGTTGGGGGTTAATGACTATTGCCAAAGATAAGTGAATTATCAAAGCTGTTGCTCTTGCCTCGACTCAAAATCCATCACATTGCATCGTCGTCTAGTTAAATACGTAAGTAATAAAATTATATTTTACGACAATTTAAGATTGATATGCTTTTTGTCTTTAATTCGCAATGACTTTGATCCATGCATACACTGAATGCCTCTGTGAACTTTAATGTTAAATGGCACTCTAAATGATGATGATTATTTGTCTTAATCACGAAACTGTTGTTTTATGTTTCACGTGAAATGTGCTTATAATTACTGTTATCAAAAATTCGACTAACATTACGCGTGTGCTAATAAATAAACCTAAAGTTTCCGGAGACCTATTTGGCATGTGGTTTCTTTGTTTTTGTTTAAAGTGGTATTATTTTTATTTTATCCAAACCTATTCTAATTTACCATGATACATATTTCAGGTTTGCTAACCCTAGGCCTAATCTACAGTATCTCTAATGCAGATTACACGCCAAAGCGATTTCAATCTGATTACCAAATTAGGGTTTTAGTCTAAATCCCTTTAAATCTGATACTGTTGACTAGAGAAGTTCAACAATCCCATCGCGTAGGTAACGATCCCGTCCTAAAAAGGAGTTTTAAACCTTATTTGACAACAAATGCAGCTCCTATTTGCATCTTTGCGCACGGCCAGATCATCCAAAGCCCAGTTTTAATCTTAAAGGTCTGGAGCAGAAATGACACCTGCAAAACTCTAGAGAAGCTGCAGAGGTGAGGAATGGCCGTAATAAAATTGCTTGCAGAGAGAGTGAGGGCCTGTCTGTCTCCAACATCACAGGAAAAAAAGGGCTGACATGTGCGTTCGGGCTGGTATTGGCATTGAGACATGAAATTAAATTAGAAGTGCTGAGATTCTGGGTGCGTAAAATCGGACAACTGACCACTCGGAGAGCACGTCATGTAGTGAAAGGCGTGAACCAGCTCATCATAACTCATGCAGAGATGCTGAAAGATGATTTACCTTCGGAATATCAATCCAAGTGCTCAACTTTCTAGGTTTTAAGCGGATGTGCCAACTCCAAACTTTCCAGTTCTTCACAACGTGGTGTTTTCGACCATATAGAAAATAAAGAACATCTATTTGGAAACGAATGAGGACCAACGTTTCAGATTTGCATGCTTTTAAAACCAATATCTCTTATATTGAGACTCGAAAATAATTTTTACATTTGTAGTGGGTTTATCTAAAAGGGAGTGTGGGAGAGAAGGAGAGAGGGAGAGAGATGGAAATCAAAGATGCGTAAACGTCAGTGCATGACAAACAGGGTGAATCAATCATTCGTCTTTGCATTTTTAAACTGTTGCATATGTTCTCTTCGCCTTAATCATGACAACTAATTACATCGTTAATGATCAGAAAAGGGAAAAATGAGGGCAAATAAAATCTTGATGAATTATGTGCACTGCTATTAGAGTCAAGTCATCATTTTTTATAACAGTTTATTGTTGTT